AAGCAGGGATTGAATCTTTATAGATGCATTATTCACATGGCCGGTGATCTGAGAAGAGGGCAGGTTAAGTACCCTAAAAGACTGTCTTACATTTCCTTTCAAGGCAGCCTTTTTTATAAGGAGGAAAAAGGTATAGGTAAGGGAGTTGGAATTCAGGGGGGAAAGAGGTGTAGGTAAGGAATTTGGAATTCAGGAAAGAGGTTATTCAGATAAAAGCTGCAGTTGGCAATTTCCCTAGCATCCTTTCATCTGTGTCCTGGGCGATTGTTTCTTTATCTGTCTTCTCTGTCCTGTGTCCTGGACTTTGGGACGTCTCTCCCTGGAACACAATAGCTCAGATACCTTTCTTGATTGCTTGCATTCTTCCTGGGGCACAACGGTAAAATTGCTTGTGGTCTCCTGGAGTCAGGGTGGATCTTACCTTCAGTTCCTAAAACAGCTTTTACATGCATTAACTATTAAACTTATTAACTGTTACTTAAAACTAGAATTTTCAAACTCTTGAGTCCCCCCCATCACCCTCTCCCTCTCTGTCCCACCATGGAAACCGTCCAATCTTGCCTTTTTTTTTTTTCTTTTTTTTAAGATTTTACTTATTTATTTTTAGAGAGGAGAAAGGAGAGAGAAAGAGAGGGAGAGAAACATCAACGTGTGGTTGCCTCTCGTACACCTCTTACTTGGGACCTGACCTGCAACCTGGGCATGTGCCCTAGACTGGGAATCAAACCAGCAACCCTTGGGTTCCCAAGCTGGTGCTCAATCCACTAAGCCACACAAGCCAGGGTGCCAGTCTTGTCTTTAGTAGGGCCAGGGTTGAAGGCCACTGCGCAGTTTATGTTCCATATTAAAATACAATCCAGCCCTGACTGGTGTGTATCAGTAGGTTGGGCATTGTCCCACAGACCTAAAGATTTCTCGTTCAATTCCCAGTCAGGGCACATGCCTGGGCTGAGAGCCAGGTCCCCAGTTGGAGGTGTGGAGAAGCACTGATCCAGGTTTTTCTCCCTCTCTGTCTTCCTCCCTTCCCGTCTCTCTAAAAGTAAGTAAATAAATAAATAAAATATTTTAAAGTCCAGTCCAGTCCAGCATCTGGCTAGCTTAGTGTGTGTTTCCAGCTGCACTCCATTTCAGGCTCGCTCCTGGAGCCTGCCTGTGAAGTTGCATGGCTGCTGGGGCCACATGGCCATGGAGGGAACAGGTAAGTGCACAGGACAAGTGCAAGTCATGAGCAAGAGAGCAAGCTTCTTTGTTCCCCCTGGGATTACATTAGTTTAGGTTTGTGATGGACCGAGTGCCTTTCAAAAAAACTTCCCAAACTATCAAGGGTTTTAGATGGGTTTACACCCCCTAATTAGACTGGCTGGCCTCTATGGTGCCCCCCAACAGTCTGGTACTGGATCTGGGAAAGGAGTATGAATTCCCCCTGGCAGAGCAAAGCTGTAATCCCCTGGGGTGTGAAGCTTTAGCTTCCTGGCTAGCAAGTAGGCTTGTGGTCCCCATTTTATTAAGTTCAGTGGCTAGTTCCTTTTGCTCCCCTTCTCAATATCTAGGTAAACACCTACGTTAATACAAATACTTCTGCAGCCAACACCCTTGTGTCTGTCCTTAGGTTTTGGTGCTATTACATTTGAATGTTGCCGCAGTAACCTTTAAAAAGTTGGGGAGTTCACATTCCCACCAGCAAAGTGTGAGGCTCTACATCCAAAGAGGGCTATCTATGCTGCTTTTGATAAGGTGTCTTGTTTTAACTTGTATTAAAACAAGTGCAAGAGGAGGGGGAGAGGGATAACGGGGGAGAAAGAAGGGGAAAGGGCAGCGAAGGAACACAAATGGAGGACTCACGGACACGGACTGTGGGAGTAGGAGGTAGGGGTGAGCAACAGGGGAAAAGGCAGGATGACTATAACTGAACAACAACTAAAAAATAAACAACCAAGTGCAATTTAGCAGCATTTCATGTTATGTGCCATTTGCATCTTTTCTCATCTTCTTCTGTACACTGCCTGTATATATCCTATGTCAATTTTTCTTTTGGGTCTTTTTTTCTATGTGTAAATTTCCTTTCTATCCTAGATATTTTAATCCTTTATCATATGCACAGCACATATTTTCTCCCGTTTGTCTTTTAACTTAATTGATGACTTTTAGCATGCTTTTACTTTCAACTTTTTATAGTTATTTTTTAAAATGTAGTCAAATAGATAACATTTCCCTCATGGTTTCCTGTCCATCTTGTTTAAAATATTCTTTCCCATCTCTCTATTCTAAGGGATGTATTCTAAGTTTCCTTTTTAACATTTTAATCATTTTATCCTTGGCAGTTGACTATCTGATGTAGATGGAATTCATTTTTCATTTTTCCGTATGCTGAGAGATTCAATACAGAACTGTGTATATGCAAAAGCCTCTAAACACAGAGTCCGTTGGTCCCTGACCTCAGTTTTCCTTCTTGAAAACGAAGCCCCTCAAGGTGGGTTCTAGGGTTCTTTCCATTTCTTACGCTGTTACTTAGCAGAGGTATCCAGACTCCAGTGGAGGGCTCCTTGTCCATCTACTAGTTAACCAGCCCCTTAGGTAGAGCACTTGAGTGGGAATGTCTGCTGCCTCCCTTCCTGCCTGTTAGGGAACTTGGGCACTGGAAAGTCAAACTGAGGTAGCACACTCAGGGGAGGCCCTTGGAGTGAGGAGGGCTGGTGGGGGGCCTCTGAGCCTAGCTTGGGGCAGCAGATGGCTCTTGGAAGGAATAGTCCCCAGGGCTGACCACAGCTGTTGTCCCCAGTATACTAGGTCAGCGTAGTGCACTAAAATCACAGCTCAGCAAAACCCAGAACTGATCTCTGTCCCTTTAAATTCAGAACAGCAGGAGCCCCACCTCCCCTCTGCCAGGGAAGAGGAGGGCCCAGCCTAGATTCCAGAGAAACAAAGGATCTCTTTTATGCTTTACACCTCTGGTTTTCTACTTCCCTTGGTTTCCCTCCCTAGACCTCCACCCACTACCACCTCGATTGTCTCCCCTTCAAAGACCTAAATGGCCTTGAGCTTGGTGGGTTGGCTTCTCCACCCTCCCCTTCAGTTAACCCTCACCCCTCCTCCTGCTGAGTATAAAGTTCACAAGGTACAAACTGTATAGCACCCCCCCCCATCTCATCCCTAGCCACGTGGTTCCCTCCTTAAGGATAAAACTGTGTCCTTGCTGGTGGGTGCTTCCATTCATTCTATGCCTTTGAAACATGCAAATAAATTTTTTAAAAATTTCCTGCAAAATCACTATCTTTCTGAACACATTGTTCTGCCCTTTCCTTTTCTGAGCTGAAGCTAAATCTGGTAGACCATTTCCAACCACTACACAGAGCTTCCTGGTTTCCTTTTGCAATTGCACTGTTATTAATAGTGCGTGAGTTGCAGTATGGGCATCCATGAATCCAGTGCCCCATCCCCTCATTACCAAGATTTTGGTTCACTTCTATGAATGTCTCCGCAGGGAAAATGCACAGCAGTGGAATAACTGAGGCAAGACTATGTACTCAAAGTCCAGAGGCTTCTCCAAGGCTCATTAAACGTGTCTGTCGGCTCATAATCTCACCCTTGAGGTTTGATCAGATTTTATCTTTGTCCAGTGAAAGAAAAAAAAAAAGTGTCTTTCTTGGTGCTTTTAAATTTGAATTTCAAGTTCTAAGAAGGGAGGTTGGAGCCTGTTTGCTGTTCATTTGCATTTCCTTTTCAGGAATATTCTCAGATAATTTCATACTGCAGGGTGGGGTTTTTTTCCTCATTGATTTATATAGGAGCTCTTTATTATTAATCTTATTAAAATGAAAATGTGGACCTTTGTAATACAAGGTGCAAGCATGTCCTCTGCAGTTTATGGCTTGTATTTTGACTTCACTTAAGTAGTGTTGCTCTGCAGAAAATTCTCACCTAGTTGAATTTTCCAGCCTTGTCTCTCGAGACTTCTGAGTTTGGGGCCATATGTACAAATGCCTTCCCTTCTCCAAGACTCGAAAAATTTTACCGAAGTTTTCTTCTAGTCTGTGATCATTTCCTATTTACACTTAAATCCTTAGTGTTCAGGATCTAATCCTGTGTAAAGGGTGAGGAGTTAGTCACACTCACCAATGTGAAATTCTCAAATGTCCGTGAAACCTTGCATCTCCAAATTGTGTTTTTTACACACACTCGTAGCAGCTCTCTGGAGTGGCGGCCAGGGAGTTCAGCTCTGTGAGGTGCGCAACATGGGCCGCCAGCACTGGCGAGGCAAAAATGGGTGCGGGACTCGCCAGTCTGTGCAGGGGGTCTCTGCCAGCGTCCCTCCGCGGCCGACTCCGCCTTGATTGGCCCACGATTCAGTGAACCCATAAACACTTGCGTCCCGTGGGGCCACCCAGCGCCTCCAGGAAGCATTTGGGGCTGTTTGAGTGACCCCTGCCACCTGGAATCTCCTGCGCGTTCTAATTCACGCTCCGAATTCCTGCCTCAGTCCCAGGTCCCGGGAACAAACCATACGACCCTCTCAGCGTCTTACATCCCCTCCCTTTCGCGTGCGGTCCCCCTCAGTCCGAGACCTCTCTCCTACCCCTTTCATGTACCTCCTCGGTCTTCTTGTCAGCCCAGGACTTCTGCCCACCTTCCCTCCCGGTAGTCTCGGGTCCGCCTCCTGGCCTCACGTTGGCCGTGCGGCCTGCGTTACCGCCCGCCCCCTACCCCTGCTTCGATCCCGGCTCCTTGTCAGCCTGCAGAAACAGGTGGCTCCTGACCCCACAGAGCAACATGCCCTGCATCAACCCTTCTCCCATAAAGTCCCTGACTCCGTGTCGCACCGCACCCCCTAGCTCGTAGTCCCGCATCGCACACTCCCTGCCGCATATTCCTTGGGATCCCAGCCCGCATGATCCCCCCAGCACCTCTCGCTCCACGTTCCCCTGGCCCTTCTCCAGCCGGCTACCGGCGGGGCGGGGCCTCGCAAGCGGAAGTGCCCCGGGCGCTGGAGGTTGGGAGCTGCCGGGACGATGGGAGCCCAGGGCAGCGGGGGCGGTGGCAGGGCCCATAGTGGCGGCGGTGGCTGCCCGGGTGGCAGCGGGGGCAGGCGGCTGGAGACACTGTCTGCGTAGCGCTGGGTCGAGCGCAGAGCCATGGGCCGGGCTGGAACCGGGACCGGAGGCGCGGCGGTGGCAGTGGCAGTGGCGGGGCTGCTGTTGCTACTGATGCTCGCTCGGCCCCCTCCTGCCGCCTCCAGCGACACCAGGAAGAGTGGTGAGCGAGCGGGACCGAAGGACGCCATCCCGGAGGACACAGGCTTGGGATGGGGTGGTGGAGCGGCCAGGGGGTGGGGCTGGGATTGTGACTCACCTGGAGGCAGTTGTGCGTTCACCTGGAGCGGGCGCGGTGCCCGGGTCCTCACCCTGGGTTGTGGGCCCAGGTCAGCCCCTTGCGGGTGCGAGTGATCGGGGTGGAAAGGACTCCTTTGACGCCTCCTCTGTCCCCGGGCGGGGTTCGGCCAGACGGGCCCCTTGGAATGCACCTTCCCTTCTCTCTTCCTTCTTCCAACATGTTCACGTCAGGCAAGACGGTCGCCTGCTAGGACATGGGGGTAGAGGAATTCAGGGGTACCTAGCCTGGAGCCCACCAGCAAGGCCCTTGAAAAGAAGGGTTAGGCAGTGTGATTACAGAGGGCAGGGGCATCTGGTCTGGGAGAAGAGGCAGAGTTGGGAGAAAGTTGCATAGATCCTGGAGAAGGGGCCCAGATGGATGTCATGTTTCCACCCCTCCCACAGTGACCAGCAGTCCTAGTGCAGACACTTCCAACAGCTGGCCTTGGTTCTTGGAGGCACTCAAAGGTGGCCCTGAGGAGCCTGGTAGGCCAGGGTGGTTCTGAGGAAATGGGTACTTAAGTGGTGTTGGTAAACTTGCTTCCCTTCCTTTGCATTTCTCTTCCCTTGAGAGGCCCCAGCCTTCCATGATCCAAGATGGTGGCTAGACCAGGAGGTGCTGAGCATTGGGGTTCTGCCTGGGCCTTGGGAGTGTTGAGTAAGCTCCCCTGATTTCTAAGGCATAGGACTCCTAGAGGGCCATATGACCAGGCTGCAAGAGCCTAGATGCCCTCCCAACCCTCTGCAGTTAGGCCGCTTATCCTGCACAATCTGGGACTAGCTCCCCTTCATTTTTCTGCTCCCAGCCCCTCCTTCTTTTCTGAAATCTTGCTCCTCCAAGCTCCTATTTCTTTTAGGATTGTGACTTTGGTTTCTGAGCTTGAAATGAGAAGCGATTTCCTGGAGATGACTCCTGATTAAGCTGCTCCACTAGATACTGCCACCCTTGTTTTCTCCTTTTTCTCCATCCTAGGGGGTGGGGTGAGGCGAGGGGGTCACTGGTGGGCTGTTTATAGAGATGGAAAACCTGGAGCAGCCCTGGCTGGTTTGTGAGAGCATTGTCCGGATACACCAAGGTTGCAGGTTCAATCCCCAGCCCACGTGGGCAGCAACCAATGAATGAATAAGTAAGTGGAAAAACAAATCGATGTTTCTCCCCCGCCCCACTCTCTCCCCCCTCTTCCTCTCTGTCTCTAAAAATTAGTAAATTTTAAAAAAGGAAAAGAAACCTGGGGGCAGCCCCTTACCTCCCAGGCCTGCTCAGGCTCAGGGACTTTGTCCTCCCCTTAACCCCATATCCCTGAAGGGTGCTGTGGGGCAGGGCAGGGGTACATGCGGCCCTTGCTCCCGGTTATCAGAGATGTGACTTCCACATCCGGCTCAGACCAATGTGTTAATGGCCTGGTTTGTTCACCAAGATAACAGTGTGGTACTTGGGCAAGGAGATGGGGCTGCAGAACTTGGGGTTGGTGCTAGAGGGTCTGGGTAGCCCTGGGAGTGAGGAACCACTGGGTCTTAGGTAACCTTGAGCATGTCTCTTATCTCTTGTGCACCTACTGAAACTTCACAGTGACCGGCTGTGTTCCAGGTATCCTCATACTGATACTCCAGGGCCAGCAGGGAGCTGGAGGGCCTTGCCTCTCTCGGGGTGGGGCTCTACATCCAGGGACTGGGTGCCGTGCTAGCTGACTGTTTCTCTAAGACCCCATGGTCCTGAGGAGAGGCAGGGAGCTATCCTGCTTCACCTACTAGCAGTTAGATTTTTTTGGCCCTTGTCATGTTATCCTAGGGTCTGCAGTAGCCTCGGGAGAAAAGTTTGTGTTAGTTCAGCAGATCCTAGCCTCCCCAGGCCATAGCCTGGTGAGTGGGACCTGATCACTAGCAGACACCTCGAGAGTGTTCTACATGGAGCCTACCTCTGCCTGGCCTCCCAAGTTGGGCTCCTCTGGAACTCAGACTGGCTTTGCAAGTGGGTTGTTATATTTTCTCAAGGTTCCTCCATTGGAGAGTCAGGAGGCTGCTTACCTGGCTCCCTTACCTGTTCACCTGGCTCTCACTGAAAGGGCCAGAACCTGCTGCTGTGGTTGTGTGAGCCAGCAACTCTCCCAGCAGGGCAGAGGAAGGCACCTCCAGCTTGGAGGAGAGCGAGGCTGCACAGTGCCGTGCTCACAGTGTATTTCTTCCAGAAGTACTTTAACGTCCGTTAACCTTGGAGGAGGGACACCCAAAGGGAGGTGCTATTCACCTGAGGAGTCTGGGACACAGAGAGGGGGAAGGGACACTCAAAGTCACACTGAGCACGAGGCCTGGGCTGCTACTGGGGTCAGGATCCCTGCCATCCAGCTCAGGCACCTTGTAGCCAGATCCCAGGCCTGGTGGTATACCCACGGCATACCTGTCCTGTGGGAGCCCCAGTAGAGAGGGTCCTGGGTGGGCACCCTCACCCACTCATGGAGTAGGCAATTACACTGTAGGACCCGGAACCATGTTCTCATGGAGGCTGTGCCCTAGTCAGTGGACACCCCAGGAGGGGCTAATGGCCTAACCTACGTGGGGCCTAGGCCCCTGTGCTGAGTCCCAGAAGATCCTCAGAGCTGGTCCAGGAAATGCTGGTCTGATAGTGAGGGCAGATTTTTGAAGTGTGGAGGAGAGGGAAGCAGGGACCACCGAGGTGGGAACCTGAGAATGACTGCAGGGAGTGCGGCGCAGGGAGCCCCAGCTGAGGCCATAGGCGGTCTGTCTGGCATCAGCCCTGCCTTGTCCTTGTGTTATTCTGTCTGGGCACATGCCCATGGGAGAATGGGGGCCAGCTGTCCCCTGGTCCTTATGGCCAGACGTTCAGCTGGGGGTCCCCTCTACCCCAGGGTCTCTGCTCGTTACCTCTCTGGGTAAAGAGGATTCAAAGTTCAGTCCAGTCGTCTCCTAAGTCATCATGGGCCTGAGGAGGTAGCCAGCCTCCAGACCTGAACTCCCTCAGCTGTCAAGTGGGACTAATTGCCAGAGACAACTGCCAGGGGCTGGAGGGAGACAATAACCTTTGCCAAGGTCAAAGTTGGAGTGCTGCGCACCCCAAGGTCTCTTACCAGCCCATCATGTCTTCCCTTGTCCTATCTCTCTGGGGCCAAGCTGAGGCAGAAGGGCCTCTCATAGTCTCTGTCTGCCTCCCACATGGAGGTGGGAGCACCCTCAGGGCACCCCTGGTCTGGCTGACAGTGCCTTCTTCCTGCAGACATCAGGCTGGTGTCTGAGCAGTTCTCGCAGTCCCCGCAGAAGCTGTCTTTCTACAGCTGGTATGGCAGCGCCAGACTCTTCCACTTCCGAGTGCCCCCGGATACTGTACTGCTGCGCTGGCTGCTGCAAGTGTCCCAGAGTGGCGGCCCCACATGTGCAAACCTGGAGATCACTGTGTAGGTGCCTGCCTGCCCGCCTGCCTGCGCTCGGCCCAGGGCCCAGATCTGATGCCTACCCTGCTATCCCACCTCCAGGTACTTCCGCTATGGCGCCCCTCCAGTCATCAACCCACTGGGCACCAGCTTCCCTGCCAACACCTCTGTGCAGCCCTCCTTCCTCGTCAAGATGTTGCAGAGCAACACTTCCATCAACGTCTCCCACCCAGCACCTGGGGACTGGTTTGTGGCTGCCCACCTGCCCCCCTCATCCCAGAAGATTGAGGTGAAGGTGAGGGGTCTGCTTTCCAGGGATGGAGGGACGGAACACTTCTATGCAGGAATGACCCATCCCTCTTAGTTACCACCTCAGGGCAGGCCTTGTCTAGGCTCTGCTGCAGCCCTACCACTTCCACGCCTCACCCCCACCAGGCCTGGGGCCTCCGGTCCTGCCCGATCCTGTATCTGTGCATGCCCATCCCCACCTCTCATTCTCTTTCTAGGGCTTTGTTCCCACTTGTGCCTACATCTTCCAGCCTGACATGCTGGTCATGCGGGTAGTCGAGGTCTCTATCCTGGAGCCTGACATACCCTTTCCACAGACCCTCCTCTCCCACCCCAGCTACCTCAAGTGAGTGGGAGTCTTGGGGGAGGCCCAGCCTCCAGTTTTGGTGGAGTGGGTGGTACCACTGTCCATAATATGGATGAGAAAGGTGGGGTTCTGGGTCTTAGAGTCATGTTGGAAAGTGGGGCCTCCACCCTGAGTTTGAGCAATGAGGGAAGATCATTGGGAGCCACAGAGCCTGAATGAGGCCATCCCCTTTGGCTACAGAATCTTCGTCCCTGAAAATACCCAGGAACTGCGGCTGGAGCTGCAGGGCTGTGCATCCAATGGGAGCCTAGGCTGCCCTGTTCGCCTCACTGTGGGCCCAACTACCTTGCCCAGCAACTTTCAGAAGGTTCTGACCTGCACTGGCTCTACCCAGGCCTGCCACCTGCTGTTGCCCTCACCACCCTGGGACCGGTGGTTGCAAGTGACAGCCAAGAGCCTGGCAGGGCCCCATGTATCAGTGGCTTTCAGTGCTGTAGCTGTTCTCACAGGTGGGCTGCATGGGGAGGGCGGGGGAGGGACTGGCTTCGGCCTTTGCTTTTGATCCCCAGCCCTTCCTCCAGCTGAGCCCCTTGTCTTCCTGACAGCCTGTAGGCCTTGGATTGTGAACTTCCAGCATCTTCTGCAGAGCAGTCCAAACCAGAGCTGTAACACTTCCACGGGTCTACTGCCCCCAAGCCCTGGCTACCAGGACCTGGGCAGGAACAGCAGTGTGGGTGGTGGTCCCTTCTGCCTCATGAACTACCAGGTCATGCGGGAAGACATGGATGTGGTGTCTGTGCACTTCAGTCCCCTAGACAGGGTCTCCGTGCTGGTGCAGTCAGATATGCCTTCGGTGATGCGGCTGCAACTCAACACAGGCATGGACAGTGGGGGCTCCCTCACCATCTCCCTGTGGGCCAACAAGGTACCTTTGTTTGTGTCTCATGGCCCAGCTCAGCTCAGGGCTCAGACTCTTCCAGACTGAGTGATGCCGCTCAGGCCTTCCTGCACTGACCTCGTCATGGACGCTGGGTTGGGGTGGCTTCAGGCAATAGAGTGACCCCAACAGACATTGGGCCAGAATAGGGGCACCACTTGCAGAAAAGGAGACCTATTTTATAGGTCCCTTCAGCAGGAAAGGGGCTGTGCTTGTGGAACTGGGACTGCGGGTGGGATGAGAGTCTGGGTAGAACTGAGGATTCACACTGCATGGCCATCCCTTGCAGAGTGTCATTTCCAACAACACCTTGGTAATGGTCTGCGTGAATGCTGCCTCGCCCTTTCTCAGCTTCAACACTTCGCTCAACTGCACCACAGGTATGGGCAGGCAGCATCTGGCTAAGTGGTCCAGGCCAGCCCCTCCAGCCTTGTCTTACCAGGCCTTCCTGCTCCTCCTGCAGCCTTCTTCCAGGGTTATCCACTGTCTTTGAGCACCTTGTCTCGCAAGGCCAACCTTATCATCCCCTACCCAGAGACAGACAACTGGTACCTCTCCCTGCTGCTTGCATGCCCTCAGAGCCCTGAGTAAGTAAATTTGGAGGCTGCCCTGGCCAGATAACTCAGTTGATTGGACTGCTGGCCTAATACACCAAGGTTAGTGTTCAATCCCTGGTCAGGGCACATATAAGAATCAACAAATGAATGCATAGATAAGTGGAACAACAAGTTGATCTCTCTTTCCCTCTCTCAAAACAAAACAAAACAAAACAAAACTTGGGGGCTAGGGTGAGGACCACCCGGAGTTGCCAGGTGGCTGAATCATTGCATTCAGGACTATGATTGGGCTGCCTGCATCTGAGTTTGGAAGTGACCCAACTTCCTGTAAGCCACACAGAGTGAGTTGCCTTCCTGGTGTTACAATGGGCTCCCTTCTCCACCTGGCCCCCCCTCCTCAAGCAGCCCTGGGACCCGGGACACGGGACTGGTTCAGGACACAGCCCTAGACAGATTGGGATGCAGTGTAGTGCGAAGGGGAAGGAGCATCTTGGCTTCTGCAGATCTCATGCCTGCTGTCCAGGGCTCAGAGCCTGGGGGCCTCAATTCTGGGCTTGTGTGTCCAAGAACCTGAGTGGAGTCCTGACAAGGACTGGTCAGCAGACCTCAGCAGTCAGCCTTCCTGTGGCCCCTTCCTCACAGGGAGTGTGAGAAGGCCTCGGTCCTTGTGGAGACCTCCTTGTACCTGGTACCCTGCTTGAATGACTGCGGACCGTATGGCCAGTGTCTCCTACTGCGCAGACATGGCTACCTGTATGCGGGCTGCAGCTGCAAGGCAGGTGAGGGCCAGGCCTAGATACTTTTGGATATCCCTGTCCTTGACTTCCAAGCCTTATGCCTCCCTTTAGGAACCCATCCCACTCTGCCAAGGCTGGAGAGCACCCTCACAGAGCCAAGGACAAATGCCTTCTCCCCACTCCTGCCACATAACTCCAATCTTGCACGCAATCACAGAAAGGTACCCCCAGAGATAGTACTGCCTCCTGACCTTGGCCTCCCCAGCCCACACATGCCCACACACACATCCCGTACCTGACTCACACCTACCCACATCTGCTCTATACCTGCCCACATCTATCCCACACCTGTCCCACATCTGTCCTATACCTGCCCCAGACCTGACCCATACCTGTCCACACATGCCCACACCTGTCCCATACCCTCCCCGTACCTGCCATCACATGCACCTGCCCCACACTTCTTTAAACCTGCCCATGCCTGCCACATAGCTGTCTGTGCCTGCCCACGTAACCCATACCTACCCACACCTGTCCCAGCATGCTTCTAGGGGAGAAGGGCTTTTCTGTAGGGTCTTGGGTGAGGGTTGGCCCTGAGGTTCAAAAGTACTTCCCCACAAACCTGGCCTCAGTTGCCCACCCGAAGCCCCCTCAGTATTGCACTGGCCCACAGGCTGGCGTGGGTGGAGCTGCACAGACAACAGCACGGCCCAGACCTTGGCCCAGCAGAGGGTGGCCGCGCTTCTCCTCACCCTCAGCAACCTCGTGTTCCTGGCTCCCATCACCCTTTCTGTGTACCGCTGCCTCCTAGTGGAGGCCTCCGTCTATGCCTACACCATGTTCTTCTCCACGGTAGGTTTGCCTGCTCCCATGGGGGTGGTGGGGAGGTCTGGGCCTCTGCTTACTGCTCTGCCCTGCAGTTCTATCATGCTTGCGACCAGCCGGGGGAGGCAGTGCTGTGCATCCTCAACTACGACACTCTGCAATACTGCGACTTCCTGGGCTCTGGAGTGTCCATCTGGGTCACCATCCTCTGCATGGCACGGCTGAAGGCGGCCCTGAAATATGTGAGTGACATACTGACACCGGGATCTGGGCTCTGAGAGAGCGGAGGCCCTTGCATGCTGAGGGAGAGACCAGAAAGAGGGTCCAGCTGCTGCCCTTAGAAACCTTCCATCTCTTTTAATAACCAGTCTCCGGAAGAAGCCTCTGCCAGCTTGAAAGGACTGTGCTGGTTGCTTGGAGGATTCTGGGAAAAGACAGTGGGAGTCAGGGTTAGGCAAGGACCTTTCTAGCCTATTTCTCTCCCAGGGTTCTATTCAGAGAGGAGGCCTGGAGCCCCAACCCTAGGCTAGACCTCCCTGAGAAGCCCCCAGCTGTGTTCCTGGAGTCCCTGGTGCTGAGAACACTTGGGGGCTTTTTCAGCCATAGGTGGGCCTGGCTGATGGAGGCATGTGACCAGAGCCCTGCCTGGCTAAGTTGGGCCTCAGAAATTTACCTGCAGATGAATCAGTAACTACAGGAGGGGTGCCTCCTTTCCTGCCAGCGGAGCACAACTGTGTGTCAGCAGCTCCAAGAGGGGGCAGGCAGAGGTGCTGGGGGCAGTGGGGTGATGGCTCCTGCTGGACTTTGTGCCATCACGGATGACCCTGGCCTGTGATCCTGTGGTTGTCCCTGTGTCTTGCTCAGGTTCTACTTCTACTGGGCACGCTGGTATTCGCCATGTCTTTGCAGCTGGACCGCAGAGGTGCCTGGAACATGATGGGGCCTTGTCTCTTTGCCTTTGTGGTCATGGTCACTATGTGGGTAAGGAGCTCTTGCCTAGATCCCCTCTCCTGGCAACTGGAATAAGATAGTGTTGACTCCCCGTAGATTCTGGTCATATTCCTGGTTCTGGGTCTGAGTCCTCCATATTTGCTGAGGGCTGCCAGTGGCTCTTGTGGGGCCTAGTGTGGCTTCATTCCAAGGCCAGGGCCTGAGGACCTGTCAAGTCTGTGTTCCCTTGAGGCCAAGCAGTTGCACATCCATGGTCCTGCTGCTCAGACTTGGGCAGGCCCCTGGGAGCTACAGCTGCAACCCCCATGCCAATGCTTTCATGGTGGTTCTCTGCAGGTGTACCGCTGTGGGCACCGGCGCCACTGCTATCCCACCTCGTGGCAGCGCTGGGTCTTCTACCTCCTGCCTGGCATCTCCATGGTCGCTGTGGCCATTGCCATCTACACCTCCATGATGACCAGTGACAACTACTACTACACCCACAGCATCTGGCACATGCTTCTGGCAGGGAGCACGGCATTCCTGCTGCCACCACGTGACAAGCACACTGAGCCCTGGGCCTGCTCACAGAAGCTCACCTGCCACTATCAGATCTGCAAGAACCACAGAGAGGAGCTGTACACAGTGACTTGATGCAGCCAACTCAGGGATACCCACAGCTCTGATGATGATCTCTCCAGCCAGGGGCAGGACCAAGGGAGAGGGACTCTGTCCAGATGGATTTCCAACTGAATAAAATTGCCTTGTGCACCCACTTGCTTTCTCCTCCTGAGGAGAGGACAACAACCTCCAATTCCCTTGTACCTGCTAGCTGCCAGCTGACCCCATCCCTCTGCAGGTCCCAGCTGGTGTCTGCAGTGTCCCCTGGGGCCACAACCTGGCTGCCTGGAGACCACAGTTACTGTTCAGGGGAGACTCTTCTGCTGGCCTGGGGACAATTGGAGATGTGGAGAAATATTCGCCCATCACCCTGTTCCCTTGTGAGGCTGTGTTATGAGACCCAGCAGGGCAGAGGAGGCTTGGGACCACCTCTCCCCAGCCCCCTAACACCACTGAGGCAGAGAGCTGTGTGCCTGAATGCTAGTCTACCTCGGGCATGGGACTGCCCTCTACTGATGAAGTTGCTGTGAGGAGAGGTGACCATGGCTACCAGAGAGCTGATGGGCCCTGGGAGGCGTAGGGTCCAACTGCCATGAGTGGTGGCGTGGGAGAAGCTGGCTTCTGTCTGTGGTACCCTGCCCTTTCCCTCTCTCTTGTTCTCAGGTTTGAAGGTGCAGTTCCCTGAAAAGAACATCCTGGAGAGGGGGCTGCTGAGCTATTCTGTGGGTGCCAGCAACACAAGGCACACCTTGCTCCAATTCTGTGTCCCCATTCTTCCCCTGGGTTCTTGGGCCCTTGTCTGGGGAGCATCCTCTTGAGTTATTCTCAGGAGTGGAGGTGGTGGCTGCAGTCCTACACTGGCCTAGCCTTTCTTCTTCCTTTGTGGGGGAAGCAGGGTAAGGGGGCTGATTGCCCTAAGGAGCAATGCTCTGCCCCTCCACAAGGCAAGAGCTCAGAGGGCTGCTGTCTATGAGGGGTGTGGAACAGGGCCATGGGAAGCCTGGAGTCACTGAAGCTAGGGTCAGAGCCCTGGGAGCTTCCCTTCTGGGTTCTATCCAGGCTACGCCCTCTCTAAAGGCCTCCCCCATGTCCAGTCAGCCTGCATGTGGTCATCATAGCATTTGCTAGGCTTAAAATGGGGAAACATTCATGTATGGTGTTTTGGGAGTAAACAATCTTAAAACATTGACATACTTGGGGTTTTTTTTTTTAAATATATATTTTATTTATGTAGTTTTAGAGGGAGGGGCAGGGAGGGAGAGACGCACAGATTGGTTGCTTCTCACATGTCCTCAAACGGGAACCTGGCTCAACCCAAGCATATGCCCTGACTGGAAGTAGAACCCGTGACCTTTTGGTTCTCAAGCTGGCACTCTATCTACTGAGCTACACCAGCCTAGGCTAAAACATTAACATGTTTTATATAGCTCTGATTTTGCTGATTGGTGAATTTAACATTCTGTAGTATATATGTATATATGTATAATTTTTATGAGTTTATTTCAGTCAAACTGGTGCAATGCCAGGGAGCACTATCTCAAATTTACCCTGTACAGTTACATTTCAATGTAAAACTTTTTACATTGGTTTTTTTTTTTTTTTTTTTTTTGCGTTTCCTCTGGGAGGAAAGAAAGTAGGGCCAAAGATGACAGCCCTGCCCCTGGGCTGCCGCTTTCGGAAAACGGGCGCACTTGATGACGGTGCCTTGGGCTGCAGCAGTCTTCCAAGGGTGTTTTTCCTTGGTCCCTAAAGGCAGAAATGTGGGCGGGATAGGGATAGACGGACGGGCTTTGCAGCCAGTCAGTGGCCGGTGGAGAGCAAGTGGCTCAGCACAACTTCCGGTTCCGGCCGGCGCACGGAGGTGTGCGAGGTACTCCCGGTCCCGGGGTTGGTACCTCGCGGAGAATCGAGATCCGGAAGCGGAGTAGCGCAGGGGGTTGAGGCCGGGGTTGGGGATCGGGTCCGCGTGGGTGTCTGGGGGGCAATCTGGCAGTGGCGTGACTGCGATATTGTGCCTCCTACCAGGCTGGTCGCGATGCCCTTGCACAAGTTCCCGGTCAGTCTATGGAAGAAGCTCCGGCTGCAGGAGGGCATCTACTCCCGCCTTCCCCAGCACTACCTTCGCTCACTGGAGGCAGAGCGGACGCCCACGCCCGTGCACTACAGGCCACACGGGGTCAAGTTCAAGATCAACCCAAAAAACGGGCAGCGGGAGCGCGTAGAGGATGTGCCTATTCCCATTTACTATCCCCCCGAGTCCCAGCTGGGGCTCTGGGGCGGTGAGGGCTGGATCCTGGGCCACAGATACGTCAACAACGACAAGGTGGGTGAGCGGGACAGGCTGCAAGGGGACCTCTCGAGGCTTAGTTGCTCTGGGCACCGTCCTAGGCTCCGGAGCTACCTGGAGAGCAAAAGGGAGACAGACCAGCCCCAGCACGGCTTCCAGTCTGGTGGAGACAATTCCCTCAGTTCTAGGGAAGGCTGTTCTTTGTGAAACCATCTGGGTATCCTGAGACAGGGTGGTCGAAATCGGGAACAGTAAATGCAGAAGCCTTGGGATTGTGTCCCAGGTCATGTGTATGGATGTGGAGGCCTGTGTGTTGGGAGGAAGTGGGGGAGGGGTGTCTGCAGTCACCTGTCAGTTTGATTAGCTGAAGTTTGCTTCTGATACTTCTCTTGACACAAGGCTGGCACCACTCCCTCCTTGTCACACTTTGGAAGACAGACACTCACCGGGGGGCAGGTCTCTCAGTCTGTTCGACAGCTGCTGCCCCTAGTGGGAAACCTGGAAGAATTGCTGAATCCTCTGGGGTAGAACTCCCAGCTGGTATCTTCCTTTGCCTTCTTGTCCTTGGTGTGGAATGTGATGACTTGTGAATCATGGAGTTATGATGTTGTGTGTGGTGTGTCTGGAACACACACCAGCAACCTCCGCAAAGTCTGGGGGTGCCAAGCTGGCTGGGGAAAAACTGACTTCTGGATGGGCAACCAGGTCTACCCAAAGTCTCTACACCCTGGGCCTCACGCGGGCCTGTCAGAAGCAGTGACACTCATGAGGACTTTTGCTCTCTCAGCTCTCAAAGAGGGTGAAGAAAGTGTGGAAGCCACAGCTGTTTCAACGCGAGCTCTACAGTGAGATCCTCGACACGAAGTTCTCTGTGACTGTGACTATGCGGACCCTGGACCTCATCGATGAGGCCTATGGGTTTGACTTCTACATCCTGAAGGCAAGAGGGGTCTGATGGCTAGTGAGAGAGGGGAGACTGGATCAGCACCCACTGAGGCACACCAGTCTGTAGTGGAGGGTCTCCAGTGAAATGTGAATGGGACCATGCGCCTTTCGGGGCCGCCTCAGTGGGGACTTTCTGCCCACAAGAGTTTGTTGCTGTTGGCGCTGTGTTGCCCTCCAGGGCCCAAGGGAACACAGACAGTCCCCTCCTTCCCTGCTCTTGGCTCTTCCTCTGTTCTGGCCTGGGAGCAGCCAGCTGCTGGGGAGGATTCAGGTGGGGCTGGGTGGTGGGGTTGGCTGGTGGGGTGGGTGGGACCCTGCCAGCAGCACCTGGCCCTATTCATAGCTTCCCACCAGACCCCAAAGGAGGACCTGTGCTCCAAGTTTGGGATGGACCTGAAGCGAGGGATGCTGTTGCGACTTGCCCGACGGGACCCTCAGCTGCACCCGGACGACCCCAAGAGGAGGGCAGCCATCTATGACAAATACAAGGTGAGAGCTTGGGCCTGGACTTCCTGCTCCTTGTGGGCCGTAGTGGCTGGCCACCTGGCCTCACCACATGCCCTTTATCTGCCTGTCCAGGAGTTTGTCATCCAGGAGGAGGAGGCTGAGTGGGTTGGCCTGACACTGGATGAAGCTGTGGAGAAGCAGAGGCTTCTGGAGGAAAAGGTGAGCATGTGTAAGTGCCAGCTGGTCTGCCCTCTAGGGTGGGCATGGCGGCCAAGCAGACGGATGGGGTCGGGAAGTGCACTGCCTTATGGGTAGCCTGGACGGCAGGCTGCCATGCCAGGTGGGCTTGGGAAAGAGGTGCCTCTGCATAGATGCCCAGCTGGAGCCATAATTCTGTGGGTTCCACATGGCATGTTCCCTTCTCTCATGTTCCTGACCCTCTGGCCCACTTTATAGATTCAGGGACAGAAAGACTCTCGGTGATGGGCTGGGGTTGTGGCACCATTGGTTTATTTGACCACTTAGCATCCACAAGGGCCTTCCCAGTTTAGACCTTCTTGTGTCTGTCCTGTAGGAGGGTGTGGAGACTGGTAGCTTTTGGGACAGAGAACCCCACCCATGGTGCAGCAGCTGGCTGCCACTGTTCCCTCTGTTTGGTTTATCTGTGACCACAGGGCCTCAAGGCAGGGGAATCAAGGGCAGGTGCCTGATCCTTGCATCCCCAAGGGAAGGTAGTCCCTGTCTTATGGACAGGGCACTACCGTCTGGTCTGAGGCCTGAGTGGTGGTAAGCAACCTCACTTGATCTCATGGCCAAACCTAAGGGGCCCAGTTCTCTCATTCCTAGTTTCTCTTGGTATTTGATTAAAGGCAGCTGGATTTCTGCCCTCCCAAGAGTGCCTCACTGTGACCGTGTTTTGCCCCTGTAGGACCCCATCCCTCTGTTCAAGGTCTACGTGGAGGAGCTAATTGAGCGGCTTCAGCAGCAGGCACTGTCTGAGCCAGCGGTGGTGCAGAAGAGAGCCAGCGGGAAGTGACCACATAGTGACTGACCCATGCCTGATAGCCAGGCTCAGTGACCCTTGTTGTCCCCCAGCCACCCTATCCTTCTGCCCTTTGGCAAACCTGTAGGCATAGTCTGGGGCAGTGGCAAGAGCCACTTGTGGGCAGTGGGTGAAACATTCTTGTGTGTGCTGGTTATGAAGCTCCTGGGTGGGGTGCACTTAGTGGAGACCCTAATGGGCCTCTGGTCCCAAGATCCCCAGTGTCCTGGGGCCTTCGCACAGCCTCTGAGTTACCTCCTTCCCCTGCAGCAGAGGCCCAGCCAAAGCAGGTTCACCACATTCCGGGGGCAGCACGAGTAAAGTCTGAGCCGGGCCATGTGTGTGCTGCTTTGTTTGGAGGACCGGAGCTCTCCTGTGTAGTTCTTGACCCTGTCATCTCACCACCCCAGAGAGCCTGGATGTGGCTGACGTGGGTGGTGGTCCCCAGCCAAGCTGTGGGACTTAGGTTTGTTTTGGTGTTTTTCTTTCCTCTGGGAGAGAATCCCGAGAAGTTGAAGGTGGTCTACGATAGGGCAGGACAGTGCTTGCCCCTCCACATTGCGCATCCCTGCCTGTTCTGGGAATGTTTTTCACAGCAGAGGCAGGGAGGCTGTGGCCTGGCTCTGGGAGTAACTGGGAAGTGTCTGTACTGATATGCCCTTTGATATGGTGCCCTCTGAGGGTGCCCGCACCATCTCTGAGGGCGCTGCAAGGGGCAGTGTCTCGCAGGGAAAGCCTTGAGTCAGGAGCTCTGTCAGCATAACCACATGGACCTGCAACCTGGGTGCCCCTCCTCAGCTGACCCACACTTGATTTTGGGCCAGTCACCCTGAGGTCTTTCTGATTCTGAGATTTGGGGATGCCTTGGCCCTCTTCCCTGCCCCTTACCTGGAAGTCCAGCATGGAGACCCATTCAGGTCTCTGAGAGCATAGGGAGGGGTTCCCTTGACTTGGTCCTGACAACTGGCTGAGAGGTGCCAAGCTCCCTGAGGGGAGATGTGGAAGCAACAACACCTGGGCTGTGTTCCTGGTGGCAGAGGCCAGAGGGAACATGTAGCTGGCTAGCAGACATGGCTGGTCAAGGGACACAGCTGCAGGAGAGTCCTGGAGATCCCACGGCTCATGAGGTCATCAAGGGTCAGGATCTGCCTTGGGGTTGGAGCCCTGGGGGGTGGGGGAATGTCCGCAAGATCTCTGTCCAAAGCTGGATACACTGTCATAGTGCCACACTCCTGGAGTGTCCTCATGCTTCCCATACACCAGTGATTTCTCATGCAGTGTCCCTATTTTGTGAACAGTTTTTAATACTTAAAAAATTTTACGAAAGTTGACAATTTCCAGCCTACCCCAACCCTGCCCCTGCTCCTGCCCTGGTGAACCAGCATGGCCCCGCCCAGTTGTCCCAACGACAGCCCCTGGCTCCAGGCAGATTGGTGGTGGTCAGGATGCGCCAGCGCTCCCCATGTTCATGTCCACATCACAGTTCTTGTGTTCAGCCCTGAACTCAGTCTGATCCCTTTCCAGCCCCTCAGCTTGTCGCCTTGGTCCCCCTTTAGTGTGCACACTGCATGCCCCCCAGTTCATTGACCTTGGCTCTTAGTCACCCCTCACTAATCTTCCCACCGCAACAAAGGCCACAAGTAGAGGGGGCTCCTGCCAGGACTTGGAGGGTTCGTGTATCAGATTCCTGAGGTCCCCAACAGACCTGGGGCTGGCTCAGCATTGGGGTGAACTTGGGGCTTGGTCTCTTAGTCAGCACTGGTGGGCCAGGGGAGAATGTCAGAGCCCTGGTTGGCTCTGCCCCCCTAGCACCAGGGAAGGTGTTATCACCAGGACCACCCAGGCTGGCTTCTAGTGCTGCAGCCAGTGGGAGGAGCTTGGCTTGGCTTTAGCAGGTCACTCACTTTGTAACTTGAGTCTCAGCTGAGGTGGCAGTCTGAGTTTGACCTTGGCTCTAAATCTCTGAAACATGCGTTTTTTTCTGGAGGGAGGCAGCATCGGTTTGTTTCCTCAAATTCTCACAAGCAAAGGTTAGGAAGCCCTCAGTAATTGACAGACTCTTCTTCCACCACAAATAAAACAATAACCCAGGTCTGGGACAGGCCCCTGGCAGGCTGGATCCACCAATTTCACCTTCCAGGGGGTGGGGAGGGGGACATGCACTGTATGTGCTCACATGTCACACAGAAGCAGGAGCTGAGCCATTGAAGCCCATCTGGCCATGTGTCGCTCCCTACCATATATTCCCTCCTCTAGGCCCTGGTCAGGCCACCCAAGCTGCCTTCCTCCTTTCTTCCTCCCCATCAACCACCCTTTGCCAGTCTCTCTTGATGTGTCTGTCTTTCTGAAACCCTCTAGTTGCCCATCGATGAGGCCCTGCAGTCCCTCAGCCCCTTTATTGTGGGGGTCATTTGTACTGGTAAAGGTCAAACCTGCAGAAACCAGACGTGCCCTGCAGCTGGCCCATACCCCTTTCCCTGCACCAGCTGGGTCAGACCCTCCGCAGCCCTCCAGGAGTTCTCAGGCAAGTCCCCATGATCTGCATGTTTCCCAGTGAGTGGCTGAACCCAAGTGTTTACATGACAGCACAGCCCAACCAGTCAGCTTCAGTGTTAAGGACCATGGCTGAGCTGTGGACCATCACTGTGGACTGGGGAGGGGTCCCTTGGGACTGGAGCAGTAGCTCCCTCTGATTTGAGTAGCTGTCCACACCATGTTACGCCCACTGTCTCATTCTGGGGCTGAGTCCCAGGAAGGGTGGGGCCTAGGGCAGGGCCCTGCTCTTAACTTCATCCTGAGGGTATCACCTGAGTCCTGCTCTCATGTGCACTAGCTGCATGCTGGTGGACATGGAGAGAGCAGGCGAGACCTGGGCACCATTGTCCCTGCCGTGGGTCCCATGAGGATGCTGGGAGCTCAAAGGAGCCACTGTGAGGCCCACCCATATGCACCATCTGCCATTCCCTGAGCCTGCGTTTGGACTCTGTCTCCACCGTCACCATCCACTGCCACCCCCTTGAACATTCTGCCAGCTCCAGACTCCCTCAAACCCCTCTTTCCACCTCCACCAACTGCCCCCAACCTGGAGTCCTCGGCCAGATGAACCCCCTTGGGAGCCTTAGCCCTGTGCTGTCCTGTTCTGTACTCTGCCACAGCACACCAGAGCCCTTCCCAGCTCATCCTGACCCCAAGAAAGGAGCTCCTGGCCCTAGATCCTTTACCACTGTCAGCTGTCCCAGGACTTAACCCTGGATAAGACCTGTCTGCTGGTGGTGTCCAGCTCCTCAGGGGATCCCCTCAAAGCTGGGGGCTCAATATTGTGACCCAGCAGCTTGGGTGGGGCCAGTGTGAAATGCGAGAGCAAGTTCAAGGGGCTACTCAAGCAGCCACTTTGTCCTGTGGCTCTGGGTCCAGCTTGGCTTACTCTGAGCCCCTTCCCTTACATGTGTGGCCCTTGTTAATCCCTGTGCCAGGCTTCCCCTAGCTCCTGGGTCCTCTGGCCTTGGCAGTGGCCTCCTTAACAGCCTCTGGGCCCCCAGGGACATGCCTTAGTCCTGGCCTCTTTCAGGGATTTGAGGCTCACACCTGCTCCTTGTAGCCCTGCAGCTGTTCCTTGTGCAACCTTGTGTTCAGCAGATGTGGGTTGGGCCTGGGGCAGGAAGCTGGGCTCTCAGATGGTCTTCATGGAGGGCCTTGACCAAGTGGTGCCCAATCCCAGGAGCATTTGGACAGGCCAAGGTCTGTCACAGAGATAATGTTCTGCAACACCCAGGAATGATGCTGTGTCGTGCCCTTGCTGAGAAGACCTGGTCTTGAGATACCTGGAAAGGTCTCACCAAGTGGCCTTGGGGGTGCAGGTCACGGCTGTGTGGCCAATTCCCAAAGGTTATAGAGTGTCTGCTTTCTGTGGCTGAAGTCCCAGAGTCTTTCAGGTAGAGGGAGACACAAGATCTGTGCGCAGCAAATCCATGCTGGCGCCTTTGAAGGCTGAGAGGGCAATGTGTAAGTGGTTTTGTATGTTCAACAGACTAATGAGAACACAGAGGAAATGTTGGCAGGTAGAGATAGAGCTGGCACACTCTTGGGAGTCTGAGGCAGATCAAAAGGGCAGTTCCCCCTGCTCTTCCTCCTGTTGTTCTCATACATTTTCTCACAAGATGGCCTGGCCTTCAGCCCCTGGGGCAAGCCTGACCTGAAGTCCTCCTCTTAGCAGGGGCTGCAAGGACACTGCTCTTGCTTCCACTAGGGGGTCAGGCAGGTTATGGAGCAGTCTGGGGCATGTACTGAGAGAGGGACAGCGATCCTTCACATTGGACATTGGTGAAACACACACATACATGAAAATACTTAACAACTGGTGCAGGAATAGTCACCATCCAGCCATGCCTGACCTGACCCTCTGAGGGGACCCTGGTGTAGACCCATCAGCGGCACTGCCTGCTCCCTCCTCAGCTGTCAGGAGTGGCTTGGGGGTGGCGATATCTAAAGGGGCTGGTTGCCATGGCTACCATAGGGTTCCGGAGCCCGTCATCTGGTCCCTGCCTCAGCCAATCGGTGGTGGGAGCCCGAGCTGCAGCCTAGAGTCACGCTTCCTCCCAGCCACACAGTGTCCAAGAGCAGGACTCGCTTCCTGGAGTGGCTGAAAGTGCTCAGACGGACGGCCAAGCCCATCATGGCGGACTGCGGGATGGTGGGGCGCCAGCAGGCACACAGAGCCAGGCAGGTGAGGTAAGCCGGGTGGGCGGGCAGGCGGACAAATGGACGGATGGATGGACAGGCAGACAGGTGGACATGCTCCCTGCTGCCCTTTGTTCTTATGGCAGGGCCCCTGCCCTCTGCACCCTACATGCACATACACACATACCCGCACTCTCACCCCGAGACCCTCTCCCCAAATGTCCCAAGGAAGGGTCACAGGAAGAGAGACAAAGGAAACAGCATGAGGCAGAATGAATCCACCGCACCATGGTCCCGAAAATCGCTCTCAATGTCTTTCACATTAGATTTCACATGGAGGCAGCATCAAAGACCCCCAACAGGCCAGGAGGCCCTTGGCATAAGGGCCTCCTGCCCCTCTCCGAGCCTCCACTCCCAGGGCTAGGTGACAAGCCATGTCAAGTCAGTGAGATTTAAGGGACATTTTTTTTTTTTTAGAAGAAAAATAAAAGCGAAAAAGAAGCAAAAAAAAAAAAAGGGAAAAAACATCCACCTATAATGGGGAGCGGCCAGCCCAAGATGGATCAGAGGCGCCAAATCCCATTACTCGGGACTTCAGAGGACAGGCCCCAAAAAGACAGCAGCGATTAAGAGCTTGTAAATGGAGTGTCCTTTGGAGATCAAAGAGGGATACGCTTGTGTGTGTGTGCGTGTGTGTGTGTAGAAACGTACAGCGGGGCGACTGCAGTGGGGCCGTGCGCCACAGCATGGTGAAGCCTGGAGTGTCACCTGCCTGCCACAGGCACCCTCCATATTGCTGTGTCCTTGATGCCGTGTGGATGTGTGGACACGCCCGGAGGGGGTGGCCAGACTGGGTGTAGGTGAGGCCTGGTCTGTACCACCCACACCTGGCCTCATGCAGCCAGCTTTCTAGAAGGCAGTTCTGGCTGGGCCTTCTTCCCCACCTGGGCCTCCAGCATCTCTTAGGGTCTGGTTCCGTCCCCAAGTTCAGCCCAGATGGGTCTGGCAGGAGCCAAGAGCACAGGTCCAGCTGCAGATAGAGCTGGGTGTGAGGATGGGTAGTGACTGCCTCTAATGACCTCAACTGCCATCCCCCTGCCCGCAGAAGCCAAGAGCTCCCAGATGGCCTGGCGAGTGAGTCTAGAGGTTCAAAGCCTCTGTCGGCATGATTGTTAGGTTATTAGGTAAACTCTGAGAAGCAAATCTTTTAATCCACTGTGGCTAATCCAGTGCACTTTTGTTTGCCAGGACAGATTCTTCAGCAACAAAGGGGCCAGGGGCAACTCCAGCATACATAATCACATACTTATAACTTGGCCATGGCCACGCAGGGCTCCTAGGCAGCAGAGAGAGACATCACAGGACAGCAAAGTGCAGGGTGGGCAGCAGAGGGGTCAGGGGCATGTGGAGGCTGACCTGGAGGGCATGTGCTGTGGGTGAGAGCAGCTGGCTTGTCTCCCATCACAAAATCACCTAGCTATCAGCTCAAGACGTTGCCCCTGGTCCTTGAGACTGTGCAGGCTTGGGGGAGTGGGGAGACTGAATGAGATGCATCATCAGGTGAGGGAGAAAAAGGTAACCTGCAGAGGGGTGTGAGAGCTCCCAGCACTGGGGGAGGACTTTGGAGATGGAGTGTCCAGGACAGGAAAGGGCATTCCAAGTGAGAGAACAGTGAGGACAGAGGAAAGTTCACCCAGTGAAAGTGCCAGTGTGGCAGGAGCGAAGGCATGCCTTAGACCAGAGGGGAAGTGGCCTGGGGCCAACTGGGAAGGTAGGACTTCATCTGCTATATGTTGTCCTGTCCTAATGGTTTCTGCTCTCCCTATGTCCTCTGCATGGACAACTCACCGGCAGACATGACACAGCCCCCCACATCACTGAGGGACACCATGAAGCAGACTTCCAGAAGTCTGGCTGAAGCCCCTCAGGAGCAAGTCCCCTCCACTGGGACACCACCTTTCCTA